AGACTTGGGTCTTGCACTGTTACTAGTTTTCTTCCCTTTTTGTGTGTTCAGTTTTAAGCCTCCAGGTAACACATGCAGGGTATGGAATAGAAAATCATAAATCTATAGTTGATTGTAGAGGTAATAAGCTATGAAAAAGTAGACTTTGTATTTTGAGATAGTAGGAGAAGTTTTAAATTGTGATCCAATGAAGAGAAGACTAGGGAAAGATTTTACTTTAATTTGAAAGGCTGTTCTTATTGTAATTAGCAAATCTTGATGTTTCTTGAGTCATTAACATTCATCATTAGATGCTGGGGAGATAGCGCAGTAAAATAAAGCACCTGCCTGGCAAACACAGGGTCGTGATTCAATCCCTGGCACCAAAAGAAAAAATAGTAAAAAAAAAAAGTCCAGAAAAAAAGTTCCTTTGGAACATTTATCATTAGATATAATTGGGTTAATACTGATAGTTGTGTGCTACAAAGATTCATTTAGGAATGGAAGATTTTTTTCCTCCCATTTTGTAGGGAACTGTAATCTTGTGAATTTTTTTGATTGGGAATTGAATTCAGGACTCACACATTCTAGGCAGGCGCCATGCCACTGAGCTATGTCCCCAATGGGAACTGTAAGCGTTTAGAGGGCAGGCATTTATCAGTTTAGCTTGTATCTTTTTTTTTTTTCTTTGGTGGAACTGGAGATTGAACTCAGGCCCTTGTGCTTGCCAGGGAAACGCTTATTCCACTGAGCCATCTCCCCGGCCCCTTATCTTGTATCTTTATATCTGTCTATATATTTTTAGCACACAGTATGTACTTAATATCTTATTTTTAAATAAAGACATCAGTGTCTTTTCCATTTATTACCTGAAATATTACAATATCTGCTGAATACATTAAACTTGATGTTACAACCTTCTAATTCTTTATATGGAAATTTTTTCTTTTTTTTTTTCTTTTTGGTGGTACCAGGGATTGAACTCAGGATCTTGTGCTTGCTAGGCAAGCACTTATTCTACTGAGCTCTCTCCCTGGCCCCTGGAATTTTTTCTTAATTATAACAATTAGAACATAAACAATCTAAGAAATCTGCCATAGTGTCTTACCTGGATTTTTTTTTCTTACCTTAAGTAATTTATATGTAAATTTTTTATAAAAGTAATTTATATGTATTACTGCTATTGTTATCATTAATAATATTTTAAAAAGCAAAATCTGTGTTGAAAGCTGATAACATGCTTAGAGTTTAATATTCACCTTTAAAGTTTTTTGTTTAAAACTGAGTACAGTAATAAGCAGTCTGTTTCATAGCTAGGAAATATTAGTGTTTCCAAAAAGAAGTTTTGAAATATGATGCTTTTAAGACACGTTTTTCTAAAGAGTTGGGAAGGACATTTGTTTTAGTATATTATGGTGAAATCTTAAGGAGCAGATTTTGACAAGAGACATTTTGCTGACATAGAATATTTTGTTCATTCTGACTCTCAAATAAGTTCATCTGTCATAATGATTGATTTATATTCATTTTACACTGTACAGTTTCACAGCCGAGTTTTCTATATATAAGGTACAAGAAGTCTCTGTTTAAGTTAATGATAAATTGAATAATTATCTTCGTAGGTGACAGATTGGTCACGTGGATTTGACTAGTCCAAAGAGTAATTTAGGATTAGTTAAAACTGAAACTACTATGATTATGAGTTACTTAAATGAATTCTAATTTTAAATGTAGGCATGATTGGGAACACAGAATATAGTAAGGCATCATTTACTAAACTGCTATAGCTTCTCATTCATTTGAACTTAATTTTAATTACATAACTTATATGTGCTACAGGTCCCCCCCCCTTTTTTTTTGTCTTTATGGGGCAGAGTTTTTCTATGCAGTTCAGGCTGGCCTCAAACTCACAGCGATCCTCTGCCTCAGCTTCCTGAGTTCTGGTTACAGGAGTGCCTACCACATCCAGCCTGTACTGTCCTTTGTGGACTGTTTACTTTCTACTTTGAATCAATCACTGGTCTGTTGCTTAACAGGTCCAAAGAGTTGAGAAATCATGTTTTGTATTTACTTGTTTTGTTATCTGAAACCTTTACAATAGTTTGAAAGTCTTAGAAAACAATGTCTTTGTAGTGGAAAACTATTGGAATTAATTGTGTTATAGATTTTTCTTTAGTTATAGTATAAATAAACTAATCAAGTATTTTGCTTCTTGAAAACCATCAAGACAAGGAAGAATTATAACTGTTTGACTCGTGAATATTTTATTCCTTTTTTTTTTTTTTTTTTTTTTTGTACTAGGAATCGAATTTCCTTATAGGAAGTCACAGAATTCAAATGTCTATTTTTTTTTCATGTCCTTTTTAGTAAATCTGCTAATATTGTCATTCATAAGTATCCTACAACTCTGATATTCCAAGTAGAGCAGGAATATTTTTTTGGGGTGGTGGTGGATTGCAGCTTCTCATGTGAATGTGGTGAAAGCAGTGGATCTACTGCCCACTTCTAGACAGATGCTTATGTTCAGAAGAAATAACAATTTTATAGAGGTAGTTTTTTTTTTCTTTTTAACACATTGTATTTCAATTTGCAACTGCATTCTACTTTGCTCTTAGAAGGCTAATAGTACACACACAGAATTTGCGATTTCTGAATCTAGTGAATGTTTGGCTGTATTTAGGAGAGAAAATCAGGAAAATTGAACAGAACAATTAACTGAAAGGTGGTTGCTGGCAATAGGTAATAGTGGTCTAGACTTTGGAGCAGTACTGGAAAAAAGGACATGTGTTAATGAAGGTCTTAACTTTGCAGTTAGCCTATGTTAACTTACAATAATAATAATAATAATAGTAATAAATAAATGAAATACTACAGTATTGGCATATATCCTGGGTGGCATAAACTATTTGTATGGAGGACTTTGCCTTACTGGCAACTCTTTTTGTTCTTTGGTGCAATAGGATTAACTTTTTACTATATTATAGAATAGAACAAGTAAAATAAGTAGATTGAGCCAGATGTGGTAGTGTATGCCTGTCATCACAGCACTTTAGGAGGCTGAAGCAGAAGTGTGAGTTTAAACCTAGCCTGGTCAACTTGGTGAGACCTTGTTTTTAAAAAGAAATGCTGAGGGTGTAGTTCATTGCAGAGGCCCTGAATTCAGTCCCTGGTACCTCCAAAAGTAAATAATTTCTTGGGTAGAAATTTGTATTTCATTATTATGCTTTCCTGTAGAAAGATTTTTTTTGAGGAATATATCCAGGTCAATAATTCTTAATTTCTTTGATCTCAGTACACTCTTACATTCTAAATGGAGTTTTTCTTTGTTTAGCTTTAATATCCATCAATATGTACTGTACTAGAAATTTCTAAAATCTTAAAATATTTAATTGTAATCCTAAACCTATGACACGTTGGTATAAATAACATTATTATAATCATCTTGTCATATGTTATTCTTAAATAGCATTTTTTATAACAAAATAAAGCAAATTGATTATAAGAGTTGTCTCACATTTCTGTAAATCTCTTTAATTTCAGGCTTAATAGATGATAGCTGGATTTTCATATCAGCTTCTGCTTTTAGTCTGTTTTTATATGGTTGATGTATGAATTTCTTATCTGACTTCCCACAGATACATATTTGGAAATGGGAAGGGTATATAAAAACAGTCTTGCTGGGTGTTTTGGCACTCGTCTGTAATCCCAGCACTCTGAGGCAGGGGGATTGTTGCAAGTTTGAGACCAGCTCATGGCCAGCCTGAACTGTATAGTGAGGCCCTGTCTCAGAATAACAAAAAAGCAAAACCAAAAACCAAAAACCCAGCCTTTTAAACTATAGGCATGGTGGTGCTTGCCTATAATTTCAACAGTTTGGGAGGAGGATTACAAATTTAAGTATCGCCTGGGCATCTTAGAGCCTGCCTCAAAATAAAAATAAAAAGAGCTGGAGATGTTAGCTTAGTGTGAAGGCTCTGAGTTCAATCTCCAGTACTGGGAAAAAACCAAAACCAAAGCAAATACTTATTAATAAACTTTTTCTATTTTATTTCATTAAAATCTTATGGTGTGGTTTATGGCTCGTCTGCTTGTACATGGTTTTGTAGTATGTCTTAATCACTTGGAAGATACTGGTTCCCTGATTACTCACATCTTCCAAATGTTTACATGCTTTATGATACTAGGTTAAAAGGTATATTTGTTAATATTACTGAACTCATCATCCTCTCCCCGCAACACTTCTTCCTGCTGAGCATTCTTTCTCCCACTGAACTATACTTGTAGCCCAGAAGTGTTTCTAAGTACTAGGAAACTTTTTTGGGCTTAGTGGTAGGTACACTATTTCAAAATTTTAATTTTTGCGTAAAAGTTTGGATTTTATCATTGATACCTAATTGTTGTTTTCCTGAAGTAGCAAATTTATTTGTTTCCCTTTTTGGGAAAAAAAAGGTTTGTGAAAATATCTAAGTGGCAATAACTAGAGTTTGCCAGTCATTTTTTTAAAGCAGCTAGTTCAGTTTACAACTCATAATTGTGCTAGTGCTTTTCCTTTTCGCTGGTAAGCAACAGGGTATTTTTTGTATAATTCCCCTTGTGTCACATGGGATATTAAAAAGATGTGTACTCAAGGTGTAATCAGTGATTCTTACTCTTTCATCAAGGACATTCTGAAGTGAAACTGGCCTCTTTAAATTGTAGTGAGTGGTGGTGAAGAATACATGCACTGTTAGCATTGGGTGGTTCCACTTCTTTTTTTGTGTCCAAACTGCCATTTTATCCATGTTTGCTTTGTGCACCATCAGTATAAAGGTCAACCCACTGAAGTATACCACTTTTAAAAATAATCTTGACAGTAGCCTCCTGAAAGGGTCCATGGACCACCTTCTGAGAATGGAAGTCTATGAAAAGTAAGATGCACATACTGTATAACTTATTCTGAGGCCTTTTTTAATTTTTAAAATTGTCATGATTTGGAGTTTTTGCAAGGGGAACAATACAATACAGAATACATTTTGTAAGATTATTTTATAATAATCACCCCAAGAATCATATAAAAAGAGTGCAGGACATCTGTCCATACACTAAAGACCAAATAATCCAGCTGAGCACCTGGATCCTAATTATTCTGCATGAGTCCAGCTGAAAACCTAGAGCTCACAACAGTGCTTCCCACAAGTCCATTTGGAGGCCTACAGCCCATGACAATGCTCTTGCAGGCTTGTCTCATGGATCTGCGCTTGGAAGGCCCACGGCCTGTGCCGGTGGGATGAAGGATCTGTGCTAGCAGGCTGAGGGGTCTGAACTGGAGCCAGGAAGCAATGCTCAAGGTAAGAACCAGTGCTCCCCTCAAAGGTACCACAGCCATCCTCAGCAACAGTGAGGTCCAGAGCGCCTCCAAAGATGGAGGAAAGCTGAGTTCCCTTCAGGAAAGCCAATGTGACAAGCTTCTCCAGGAGGCTGAGCAGTACATCATCTTTCCTTCCAGAGCCAGGAAGCGATGCTCAAGATGAGGACCAGAGCTCCCCCATAAATGAACTGTAGCCATTCTCAATGAATACTAGGTCCTGAACTCCTCCTCCAATAAGAACAGCCAAGTTAGTCAGGAAAGCCATTTTGACAAGGTCCTCCAACAGAATAGCCCAAGAGAACCAGCAACTTCTCCAGCTTCCCTAACAGCCTCTCAACAGCATTTCCAGTTCTGCCTCGTATGTTGTTGGCAGTATCTTCAGTTGCCCAGCACTATACTAGTTCAATTCAGCTGAGTGTACAAGTTGGCCACCAGTTAACAATCCACTACAAACATCTTTTATCTGTTTAACCTGTGTGGAAAGATGACCTGAAATAAAGAAGATCAACTCATTACTGTGATCCCAGGAAGTTAAATGCCACCATATGTATGATGTTATGCTGAATATTCAGTGTTAAAGTAGCCTTGCCCTCAAAAAGTGGATCCTATAATCACTCTTGGCTTTACATATACAATAGAAAAGGGCAAGTACCAGATGCACATTTTGTTGAGTCCCAGTTTTCTACCCAGAACTAGTGTTAATCTTCTGGAGTTTCTGGGCAGGTTGTTGAGTAATTATTTACAAAATATGGAATTGGATTAGATTTCTGAGCTCTCAATCAGTTTAATATCCTGTGTTTTTTTTTTGATTCTTTTACTTGCATGAATTGATTACTAATCAGTTATTAACTAATAGTAATTCTTTTTTTTTTATTTGGCAGTACGGGGGATTGTCCCCAGGTCCTTATACATGCTAGGCAAATGCTCCATCATTCAGCTACATCCCCAGTTTTAAATTTGTTATAACAGGAAAGCTAAACTGATTAGGTGTAATTGGTGTATATTGTCTATTTGTTTTTTGAGACAGGGTCTTCCTATGTAGTTCGGGCTGGCCTTGAACTCAGGGCTGTCCTGTCTCAGCCTACTAAATGCTGGGATTACAGGAGTATGTCACTATACCCATAATATGGTCATCACATATGTTAAAATATTAAGTTTTTGCAGTGTTGGAAATAAAATGTGTAGAAGTGGAGGGGACTTGTAAACAGGCTTCTAGAAGTAAGTGTGGCAGGAAAGGAAAACTGTGGTGGGTAGGGAGGGGTACATGTTGCAGAATATTTATTTTTTGTGGTGATGGAACAAAACCCAGGGTCTAACATTTGTAAGTAAGTATTTTATCCCAGTCCCTTGAGTATTTACGTATTAATTTTTATAATGTATTTCTGGATTCAGTTTATGTTCAGGCAAATCACACTGGGCTGCTCTTATGGCAATATTTAAGGAAAAAAGACTCCAGAGATTATGTATTTTGGAAATATTTGACAACGTTAGTAACATCAACTGCTGACAAAAAAAGAACCACCTCTTTGGCAAATCTTTCACAGTTGTGCCAAAAAAAGCAGCTTTATTGGAACATTTTCATAAACTATCATCAGTTATGCAGCAGCAGCTTCACAAATCAGAAATGATATCTTCAGGCACTGCTGTCAAGTGTTATTCAAATAATACCAGCCTCACATTTGAATAACAGCAGACATTTTGAATTAATTAATCAGATGAGATAGTCTGGGCCTTTTCTCATTAGTCTCTGGGTCAGGTTTGGGAAGATATATGCGTTGGTGATGATATACTTGTCTTTAATCATGATTTATGAAGATTTAGGATTGTGTGTGATTTGTCAAAGGTTCTGGGAAAAGGCTGGCGCATATTTCATTACCTGATCTGAGATTGATTTTATGATGCTCAGAGATATCGCACTGTTGTTCAAATGTGTGAGAAGTCCAGGAAGGCACAGCATCTCAGGCTTTCTACTGGCTTATCTGCACAACTGTCAGCAATGCCGTAAACTTTAACTGCTTGTAGTTAACAATTCCTGCTTTAATTATAGGCAGACTTTTTATTCTGTCCAAAGGGAGAAGTTTCCGTGGTTATTTAGCTAAAATGCATAGCAAACTATCACTTGGTATGAGTCATGAGCAGAGTTGGTAAATTTCATGGGTTGGTCATGGTGAAAATATAAAATTTCATGGTTTGGCAAAGATGAATAGAAAAACCCCGTTAAAATGGTACAAATAGGGCTGGCCAAATAGCTCAGCGGATTAAAGTGCCTACAAGCAGGTGCAAGCCCCGGGGGTTCGATCCCCAGGCTGGCCCAGCCCCTGCACCCACACGTGGAGATGGCAGTTGAGACTGGGCATGGTGGCACACGCCCGTAATCCCAGCTCTTGGGAGGCTGTAAACAGGCGGGTCACTATGAGTCCCATCTAGTAGTGAGACCCTGAACATCCTGTAGACCCTTCCCTAAAATACCAAAAATAAATAAATAAATAAATAAATAAAAAAAATGGTACAAATAGTGGAACAAGTAAGCTTAGTCTTCTTACATGTTTTCCTTTCAGGGCTAATTTAGCAAAATTGGGATGTGAAATATTTTTTGTTATTTAAGAAACATAAGTATCCTAGTATTAAATAAAATCATTTATATGAAAATGTCTAGTGCAATGCCTGGTTTATAGTGGGTACTGTTGACTGACTTTTCCCTTTTTCCATCTACTTTTTCCCCTTTCCATTTTATGATTAAGGCACTTGTTTTCATTGTTTAGCCTTTACATTTTTAACAACTTGCATTTTTAATCCTATTGACTCTTAATTCCTTGAATGTTTTATTCTGGATAGTAGAGTGCAAAGAGTGAAAGGCCATCTATCATCTTAGCAGACTGGATGACCAAGGGAACCCTAGTGTGACATTAGGATCAGGTTATGCAGGTTTGTACATGGTATGGGGGGTAGGGCATGTTTGATACATGAGAAATTGAGTATTGACTTCTTATTGCTAGTGTAGCATGTGCTGCTTAATTCATGATAGACGTTTCTGTATTGTCTGCTTCCTGAGGGCGGTATGTTGACTTGTTTTTATTCTGCTCTGAAGAAACCTAACATGCATGTTGCATGCTATGTAAGGAGCAATAAAGTGATTTTCAATCTTGTCATACAAATTTACTTTTGTTTCCAATTTTATTTTTATTATTATTATTATTTTTTGCAGAACCAGGGATTGAACTCAGGCCCTTGCGCTTGCCAGGGAAGCACTTATTCTACTGAGCCATCTCCCGGGCCCCTAATTTAATTTTATTTTTTTAAATCTTTTTAAATTATTTTAGTACAGGGTCTACAGGGTCTCGCTACACAGATTGGACTCGTAGTGATCCTCCTGTTTTCAGCCTCCCAAACTCTGGGATTACAGGCCCTCTCGGGCGTGGGGAGGGGCTGGCACAGCAGGCTGGGGATTGAACCCTGGTCCCTGCATCTTCCTGAGCAGGTGCTTTAATCCGCTGAGCTTTCTGGCTGACCCTTGTTTCCAATTTTAGACAGATGATGTTTTGTTGGGATGATTGGGGTGTTAGTACTCATTGGTTGTTTTTTCTTTTCTGTGTTTTGGGAAAAGATTGGTACTCTTTTTAAAAAAAATCTTTGTTTTTGTTTTGGCCAGCTCAGCCTGCCCTTAGGGTGGGCCTGGTGTGGCAGGGGATGGAACCACAGTCCCCTGCACCTGCCTAAGCTTTCCTAAACGGGCGCTTTAGACCACTGAGCTATCTCACTGGCCCATGGTACTCTTGAAGTAATGCTTGACACCTTTTAATACAGTTAGAGGCAGATAATTATAATTCATGTTTACATTAGGGAAGGTAATTTATAAATAATAAGATGTTGCTATTTGGAGAGAGATAATTTTTAAGAGTATTTTGGAAGACTGCTTAACGCAGAAAAGCAATACTTAGAATCCAGTAGGGGGCTGGAGAGATGGCTTAGTGGTCTAAAGCACCTACTTGGAACAAGCTTGGCAAAGCACAGGGACCGCGGTTCAGACCCCCAGCACCACATGCCAGCCAGCCCCGCCCCCTGGTGGGCTGAGCTGGCCACACATACACACACACACTAAATGTTAAAAATAAATAAATAAATAAAGTTTAAAAAAAAAAAAAAGAAAAGAATCCAGTAGATCTGAGTCTCTCTCTGGACTGCTGCTTAATTGATTTGTAAGCCTGGCAAGTCGCTTAGTATTTCCTGAGCCTTGGTTTTAGCATTCAGTGTTGTTGTGAAGATTAGAGGATAATATGTGTATAATACCTACTGAGGTTTGTGCCTAGTTTATAGTTGCTTAATAAATTATAGCTCTTGCCGTTACTTGTTTGTTCATTTATTTCTTCAACGAACATATGTTGTGGACTTGCTATGGATAAGTGACATAAGACATCAGAGACAAAAAGCAAATACTTTCTATTGAGAAATAAAATAATACACTTTGAAAAATACAAGCTAGGTTACCATGAAATAGGAGGCAGGAGATGAGACAAGAAGAGACCACATCACTGAGGCTTTAATTCTGTGCAAGAGAGTACTATCTTTATACTTTGAATAGATACTGATGAAAGTAATCAAGGGAATGGTATTAGAATTTTTATATAGTTTACTTCATAATCTGTTTGAAGGACTATATCAATTAAGAGCCTTTTGGAAGTCAGTGATGGGGGTACTTAGAGTAGGTATTACAGCAATTAAAAGAGAACAGTGCTTTAAATAAACTAAGAAATGAGCAGGAAAAATTAGAA